AACTATAACAAGAGAAATAATAACAATAAAGACAAGAACAGTAATAAAGATAATGAAACTATTAATCATGAAAACTAATGCATAAAATGACAATGACAATGATAATAATAACAATAAGAATAATAAAAATTATTATAATTATAACAGTAATAACAATAATAATAACATTTGTCATCATAATGATAATAATCCTTGTCATCATAATGATAATAATCCATGTCATCATAATGATCATCATTCTATTCATCATCATATTAATAATCGTCATCATCAATAATAAATAAAATCCCGAAAATGAAAGCCAAGGAAGACGCTAACAACGGTTCCGAACACGCGGTCAGCCTGGCTGCGCGCTCCTTGCGAGGGACGGCGCATGGGTCGAGGGACGCCACCAACTTTCGGGGAAACTTCAAGAGAAGGATTCGCTGCACAGCGACGCAGCGACAAGAGCCACGGAACAGGATTCGTGGAGCCGCAACGCCTTCAGTAGCGTCTCTCTCGCTCCTCGTCCTTCCATCTGCCATTCTCTTCTTCCTCTCTCTCTCTCTCTCTCTCTCCCTACCCCTTTCTCTCTCTCTCTCTCTCTCTCTTCTCTTTTAGCAATCTTGCCGACCAGCATTCGATCCCCCGCGCTGCCAGTGGATGGCAACCCGGCCATTCCTTGGTTAGGTTAGATTAGGTTAGGTCACAGCAAAGATTATCCATTGTAACAATGGGAAGTAAACTAAACCTTTTCTATATCTCTGTATGTATGTATATGCACACACTCCCATATATATATATATATATATATATATATATACACACACAAATACATATATAAACATCTATATATACATATAGATAGCAAGATATGAGTATACTGTGTCTCCTCTTCCTTACTCTTTTTTTTTTCTCCCCTCTTTCTTTCTTGCTCCATCTCCCATCTCCCACTCTTTCCATTTGCTCTCTTCTCTCTGTGTCTCTCTTGTTCCTCCTTTTACACTCTCACTCTCCTCTTCCTTCCCATCTCTTATTACACCCCCTCTCTCCCTTCATCGTATTCTCTTTTTTCTTTTTTCTTTTTCCACCTCTTCCTCTCTCTATCTCTCTCTCCTTCTCCCTCTCTCTCTCTCTCACTTACTCACTCACTCACTCTCTCTCCACGCACTCAGATCATTTGGCGATTTTGTCAAACATAATAAATCTCGAGATCAAATATTGGCTCTGGGAAACTGACTAATTGGCAACCTCCCCCAACAGCGCACGCTTTGACTGAGACAAAAATGACGTTCAAAGCACAGAATATAACAGCTCAAAACACTAGTTATCATAAACATCATCGGATGTGTGGAGAACAGTCGCGGGGTGCCCTCAATATGCAAAATACTGGCATGCAAACCACTTTTTCTCTCACTAAGAGCGCGGGACCATGGCGAAAGGTGCCAATGAGTCAATTTTCCGGAGAGACTATTTCCTCTCGAGACACTGCTTGGTTCCACGAATCGCAAAATGAAATGGAGAAGAAAAATCCATTTCGATTTGAACTGCTTGTGTGTCTCATGGGATGAGGAGGATCTTAATACTATTATGTTGAGAAAGCAATATTGATAATGATTATAATAATGATAATTGTAACAATAATAATAAGTGACAACAATGATAATACTAATAATTATTATAATGAAAATAATAATGATAATATTCTTTTTATATATATTATTGCCTTTATTAGGACATTTACTTTCACTATTATCATTACTATTCTAAGGACAATGATATACAACAGTATTGATAAAAAAAAGAAAAACAAACAAACAAACAATGATACAACTAATAACTGTAAGAAAAGAATTGTTCCTGTTGCCT